GCTGTGTCGTAATGGTTGGGGAAGTGGACGAAGAACTTGGAGATGAACTGAGAGCACAACTGCTTCTCCTGAGGGCTGCCCTTCACCGCCGATAATATCGACAAATACGAGGACTCGAACTGAAAGGCAATGCAAACGGCAATCAATACGTGAATCAGTGGTTGGTATTCACTATAAAGGGGTTTATTATCACACATTCACTGAAGTGTCAAATTGGGCTCAACTCTCATACAAACCGGTACTCAATGACCGGCCAATCGCCACCAATTCACACACATTTGGGTTCACTCTATACAAACACATGGCATATAAACTCCGTTATAATGAACATAATATGCACTATAAAGTGGACTAAACTAACGTATAATTAGTTTAAATAAAGGGTTCATTGAAAGCAAAACAACAAAAATTAACGATTTTTTTGGTGTCAAAACATGGGATCAATTGAGTGAAAGACTACAGACTTGAGTGATGTTGTCCTTCGCGGCGTCCAATTGGTTGTAATTGTCGTATAGTTGAGATAATTTGTCGGCCATTTTGGTGACAGAGTTGATCCAACGGAAGATTAAATCATTAGTCGATTAGTTTGCGATTTGAAAGCAATTAACAAAACATCGAAAAACACACAAAACATGCGTTCATTGCATTCATTCAACAAATGACGTCAACGTATGCATTGAAAAGGCATTTGTCGTACGTTTTCATTACATTTCATTAGTTTTTTATAATTTCTATTTAAATCACATTTAATTATAATTACAATCATGTGTTCAACGGTGGAGTTGTCGTCGATTATCACCAAACAGTTGCCACACATTGATCAGCACTTAACCGATTATATCATTGGTATGTCTTGCGGTCGATGGCGGCGGATATGTCTTCGGCGACGTATTGCCCAAAAAAATCACACATTTTTTGCCCTAATTTTGCGACCAATTAATGGTTTGATTTGTTTTTGTCACCGAAAGGAGTGCTCACTTGCGATACGTTTGAATCCGTGGATGAGATCTGCGAAGCCATCGGCGAAGTATTGCAGT